GATAAACTTAAGATTGAGCCCCTGTAGTCACTTGGACTATTTTAACGATGTCTTCAATTACTTTTCGAGGACAGCAAGAGCCAGTCCCTCAAGAAGCCTATGGACTGTATGCAGGAGCGATTTTAATATCCTAAATATCTTAATTTGTGTTCCGAAGATGAACGAAGGTCTTACGGGGTTGGAACAACATGAGGGTGAGTAAATACTGACAGAATTTTCATTTTTGGGTGAACTAACCCTTTAACATAGATGTTTAAGTTGTTATTTGCATTGGAAATTGTTTGTGCTTGTACTTCACAAGTTTAAAAAAAATTAAAAATTTAACTAAATTTAATCGGGTCCGTGTGCACAGCTGAAAGTTGTGCTACTAAAGCGCTAGCTGTATATTGATATTGAAAAGCAACACAACTTAGTGGCACTGTGACAACCACAATAGGTAATCTACAGGCATAATGACAATATGATATTACAGTTTTTCTCCATTGGTTTGGCTCATTTCTTGAAACAGAAATTACATTCTCAAAACAACACGGACAAACCTCCAAACTACTTGGCAATTGTTCATAACAGAATTGAATTTCTCATTCAGTTCATCAAATTGCAAATGCCTAAGTACATGTCTCAATGTCTCAGTACATCTTTGCAAATGATTAAGTACAGGTAGCCTACATTTAGCACAATTTCCAAGTGAATAGATCTTGTTGATCTAAACTGATTGTTCATTCTCAGTCTAATGGTTGTTCACTCCAAAACGTGTCAGCGTCATTTCATTGTACAAGTCATCACATGCACAATAGTCTGTTTTAATTTTCAAAATTAGTCAACATAATACCATGAATACCATATGAATCCCTTGGAACATTTGATACATTACAGCAATTGACAGATCTTGACTAACGAAGGAAGAGTTTCACACATCTCAGATGACCAATCAAACCGTATGTTTGAAGCTGCAATTAGTGCCGCCCATGTAAATCTATCTACAGTAATATCTATCTTTAGATAATATCTATCTAATACTGTTGGTTTTACTATAACATTTCAGTAAGTCTAGTCATTGATGATTTTACCCCTCCCCTTTCTGTCAAATACCCCCTGTAGTACCTCTGCATAGGGGTCCATGTGCCCCAGGTTTGAAACCACTGGAGTAGTGGACAGCATATTGAACTTGTGGAGAACATTGAACATTCCTATGTAATTGGAGGTGTGGCCATGTTGTTTTGAGAATGTATTTTCTTTTACCTCTGATGTATAGAAGTTACTTTATGTGTGTGAATGATAACGGTTACAATTCCTTGGCAGTATGAGTGCAATGTGTGATGGAAAAAAAAAAAAAAACAATTTCAGTTTTATACACAATTGTATTCTGTTAGCTAGACAAAAAAACAGTACAGTAACCATTGTCAATGAAGGACTGGAAGATGGACATGAGGGATATTTCAATGGTACTCTGCCATAGTGACAAAAACATCTAAACATTTTGGCTTGCAGTGCTTACACAATGCCAAAGGGACTAAGCATTTTGGGGGCACTGACTGGTTAAATGAGAAGGAAATTTAGTTTTGACACATGAGTGAACTGTTTTGGGAGAGGTATGAGCTTTTGCAGGTGAACCATGGTGTTGTGCCGAACCATCCACGTTATTTTGGCAAAAGCACCAAGAGTGTTGAGAACGTCCGGTCTGTTTTGAGAAATGAGCCAAAGCAATTGAGAAGGATCTTTGCCATTTTGGTGGCACTGACTCTTATGAGAAATGAATTTAGTTTTGAAGCATGAGTGAACTGTTTTGGGAGAGATATGAGCTTTTGCATGTGAGCTATAGTGTTGTGCTGAACCATAAGACTGTTTTGCCAAATGATCTTAGAGTTGAGAATGTAATTTCTGTTTCAAGAAATAAGCCAAACCAATGGAGAAAAACTGTTATAAATACCACTTACCATTTATAAGTTAAATGGACTTCGTCGACGACGATGCCTAGCAGGTTGGTACTAGGGGTGGCACGGTACATGAAAAAACACCCGAACCGTTCGGTTCGGAGCGTGTGTGCGTCTCACGGTTCGACGCATGCGCAATGTAGCCTCGTGCCCGTATGTCACGTTTGTTTTCTTTTCGCACGACATAAGCTTGTTCAACTTGGACCGGCGCTGCACAGAGCGACCGGTGAATAACATCAAACTAGAGCGGGAACGACGGCTCCGTCACTCACTTTCGCGGTATTTGATGTCATTACCGATCGCTCTGTATGCCGGTTCAAGTTAGTAAACAATCCAGTAAAAGTGGAGTATGGAGCGCTGCAGGTCACGGCACGCGGAGAAATGGCATGGGAGAGATGAGGGAGTTGGAGGAAGCGCGAGCGTCCTATAAGTCCATGGTATAAGTCTGGTGTGTGGGAACATTTTGGATTTCATGATATTTTAATATAACGTTACAGTGGCACTTTATGTTTAGATAAGAGCTCCAGTCATATGTTTCGAAATCCTGCACTTTAATTTCAAGTGAAAAAAGGTACCCTCACTTTTTGGGAATAGAAGCATTGTTTATACTGTTTTTTGTGTTGAGGTTGAACTTATGTTTCACTTTATGTTTATGGCCTTTGCTATTGCTATAGCCTAATTATAGGCAATGAGGTATTCATGTTAACTTATTCATAAAAGACAGTGTAGGCTAGTTCCTCTTTTTTTCTTTTAAAAGATAGAATTTTTGTAAGAGCTACAAAAGTTGTCAGTTGATAAATGCAAGTTAATTTCTTTGTGTAAATAAGATTTGTGTGATAAAAATGCTCAAGTTCTTGTAGAGATAGTGATACACATTCTCCTTTTTTTTCAAAATAAATGAAAAGCATGTCAATGTCTTCTCTCTTGCTGTATCAAAATCTCACCTAGCTTTCCTCTGAGATAGTCCCAAAATGTGCTTAAAGTCAAAGAGTCAAATTCAGTTTGTGCATGATTGCATGAATATAATTTTTTTTATACTGTATCCTAAAGTGTGGATAATTAAGCTATATATCACATGCTGAAGTACATTTCTGGAGTGTTAAAGATTAAAAGAAAAAAAATAACAAGAACCGTACAGAACCGAAAACCGTGACACTAAAACCGTGATACAAACCGAACCGTCGGTTTCGTGAACCGTGCCACCCCTAGTTGGTACTATACAACTCCGTGGCTAACATGTCTTCCTACTTTGCACTCATCCAGGCCTCGGGTCTGCCGAACAGAAGTTGGTATCGACAACTCTTTATCACATTTTCTTTCTCGAGACACAGCTGAGCAGCAGATATTCCAAGGTTGACCGCCTCCTGTACCTGGTCCTCCATTAGGGCGATTAATGGCGAGACAACAATAATGACTGGGGTCTCGTGAAGTTTAACGCCAAAAGCTGCTGTTTTTTTCAAAATAAACTTGCATTCTAAACTATTTAGAACAATATCCAAGGCTGCATCAAAAGGTAGCTTCGCGTCTGCTGCCATGTTGAAGATATAAACAAACTACTTCGGTGGGTCGCATAGATGTCATCATCGTCTTGCTGCTCCCTCCCCGTTCTGTGATTGGTACACTAGTTCCCTAAATGAGGCGAAAATCTGGCCAAGGTATCCAGACTACCTTTCAGCATGAATAAAATCGCGCGGCGGGAAGGCAGCATGGGGAAACCCAGAGTACTCCTAAACACGAGTGTGTATCGATGCCTGCAGCGCAAGATGCTTGCCTTGTACAGAGAGAGAAGACGCAGCACCGCGAAAAAAAATATTGAAAAATTCATATTGTACCTTTAATGCATTTTTTAATGACACTGTTTAACAAACACATCCAGCAGTTTTGCAACAATAGATTTCATTTTACAACACTCACTTATTTGGCTGATTTAGATGTTAAGTTTAAATGTTAAGTTCGTTTTAGGGAGGAACGAAACTTTATAACTTTCAACTTGGAAAGAAGGCCACAGACATGTTTTATAAAAGGTTATGTGTGGCTGTAAAATACACCAGTTTGTTTCATCACAAGACTGTGCATGTGCAGTTGGGAAAAACCTATTAAAACAGCTCATATGCCACAAGTCATTTCAAACCACTTAAAATCAGCATGAAAGTTCCACTAAACCACAGTGATTGTGACGACAATATGACAATGTTAATAAAAACTACAATAAAACCTACATAAAATGAGGTGTCAAGAGACACAATATTTACTGTTATGGCACAACCTTAAGTTGGAATACAATGTTCAGGAAGCTCTGGAATCTTTCACGGTCAATGGATGAAAAAAAAAATGTAATGAAAATAAAGTGTGTTGCTGAAGCTGTCAGTCCCTTACATTCTGCCTAACATCGAAGATAGAAAACCATACAGAAACAACATATAGTAAGAAAATTATACAAGACCTTTCACTATTGAGGAAACTCTGTTTTAAGTTAATATTTTAATATAATGATGCGAGCCACATTTGACGATGTCACCAGCTCTCTATTAAATAAACAACAACAAAAATAGATGGAATGAGAATAAAAGGATGCATTGCATCTAATACTTGCATTCGTGGCGCCGTCGTAAGCAATGCGTGTTCTTTTTTGTTGCCACAGCAACGCAATGTGCCTACGACTGATCCCTCACGATGTAAGTGAATTGTGACCGAGGACTTAAAAAAAATCTGCAATCTAAAAAACTTGAGGTGAGACAGCTTTACAGTAGGAGAAAAAGATTTAGTAAAGGAAACAATGAGTCAGTCTATCCAAGATGAGGACAGGAAGTTTGTAGGGTTTCCAAAGCGAAAGACACTAAAACAAAAGTTGATTGGCTATCGAGGCTGAGTTAACAAAACACACTTAATGTTATATTTATGTTTTGGATGTATAGCCTACATTCACAAAATGCCAAACGTCGAAACGTAGCACAAGGTAGGCTAAAGGTGGCTCTCTTACAACAACAAGCTAGGGTTTATCTGATCATTTAAATAGGCCATATAAAATGTATCCCAGTGTAAAATGAACACAAACTCAGTGCCTACCACAGTTGCCAGGTAGCCTCTGTCGTCGTGTCACCGGCGGTCCACTTATAAAATCGCCTTATCAGCACATTTATACTTTGGAACAAGTGGCTGACACCGGTTTCACCATCCCTGTTCTTCTACTACCTGCCGAAATCAAATATTGGTAACTTCCCTTCTGAGAAGATTATCGCGAGTGAAATGTCTCTGACGCACCGCTGTAATCCGAGAGTGAAGGGGAAGGTGGAGGTGGAGGTGGAGGCGACGGCGACCGCAAGTTTTAAGTTGACTTTTACCAGCTCAGGTTTGAACCCCGAGCTGTTTTGCTGTGAGGCGAGGAAGAGGGGGTGGGACATCATGGTAATTGACGTCTAAGAAGCAAATAAAAATCCACCGAGGAGTTAGCATGTCGCCCTATCCAGAGACTGCATTTCAAAACGCAACAGAGACTATTACGTAACTCAGGTAGCTAGCTACGCCTAGGTAAAGCTGCCTGCCTGTAGCCTATGGCAAGCCGCTTTAGCTTAAAATGTAGCGTTAGTTGTCATAATCTCATTTTTACTAGCTAAAAATTCAATTAGGCCTAGAGAGATCTACAATTCAATTCTTAAAAGTAAAAATTACAGTCTATTAACAATTACAACGAGAGAGCTCTCCTAATCAATTATGACTGACCATGAGAATCACATATATGACATATCTACTATTTACTTTAGGCCTATCTCAATTGACTTCCAATCATTTTTAATTAGAGATCTAGCTACAACTCATCTATCTATCTATCTATCTATCTATCTATCTATCTATCTATCTATCTATCTATCTATCTATCTATCTATCTATCTATCTATCTATCTATCTATCTATCTATCTATCTATCTATCTATCTATCTATCTATCTATCTATCTATCTATCTATCTATCTATCTATCTATCTATCTATCTATCTATCTATCTATCTATCTATCTATCTATCTATCTATCTATCTATCTATCTATCTATCTATCTATCAACCTGAGAAATAACCACCTGATCTCTACATGAGGGTAACATAAGTTATAATGCATGGAAGAGGGAATCCATCTTCAATTCACTATACATCAGCATGGTTCTATGATAAATTTGTTGCTAGACAAATCTGCTCCTTTGCATGTCATCCAAGGGTTGCCTTAACAACATAGGTTTTAGTTCATTGCCAACACCCATCTACGCTAGAAAGGGAATCCTCCCTACATTGGAATTCACCAAACCACTGAACTTGACTCAGGTATGTTTTGAAGAGAAACACATAAGCACATTCACACATACCACCAGAGTGCAGAACTTTAAACAGTGAAGTCTGAGTGACGTCAAACGGTCAGCTCTGGGAAAATTCTGCAAGCACTGAAACTAGTGTTTTCCCGTGACAAGAACTGCATATGGAAATATGATATTATCTCATATTATGCCATTGTATGTTCCATTAAGTGAAATTGTTATTGACAACCTTCTCAGAAACAGCTTTATTTAGAGAGATAGGCCTAGTATTTTGGCAAATGTGAAAATCTTCCCTTTAAAAGATCTAGACTTGCTGATCCATCTATGAGCATTCATTCTCTGATTTAAGTTTTTAGGTGGTTGACACATGAAAACAAAGGAAGACACAAAATGCATTTAACGTAACATTGTAAATGACTGCTTCATGTTCAACTGATTAAGATTGAATTATTATTTAACTGATGGTGATTAGCATCTTCTCTGCCCCATTTTACCAATTCAGGCACCAGTTTTTGACTCAAAAAAGGCCTAAAACAAGTTACATTTTACAAACATAATGCTAAACACAATATAGGCTACTTTACATATAGGCAAATGTGTGGCATTTTATCAGATGGCTGCATTACATAAAAAAGTCAAAACATTGAAAACTCAAATTGTAAACTTTAAGTTTTTATAAAAGCTCTCAAGAAAAATTCAAAAATCAGGACGACAGTTTTAATACAAAGACATAAGACATATGGTTAAATGATTCCATGAGTGATATTTCACAAAATGATAAATGTATTCATCAGAAGTTGATTCGATATGCAATGTTGCATTGCTGGATTATTGTGAATAGAGGTGTAAAATGCTTTGTGGCCTCCCCTTTTTCCATGTAATTTGTAGCCATCTAGTGGCTGTGTGTGTGCAGTTTCACGAAATTAAAAAAGATCTTCTGAATGCATATATAAAGTATTAAAACAAGGGAAAAGGCGATTAGGGAGAAGCAAAAAATTATTATAAGAATTTTAAAACATAATACAATCTAATTACAAGTACTATTTTTTTAAATTCTAATTGCCTAATCCAGATTACATGATGTAATCAGTAGGCCTACTATTTATTTTTTTTAAATCTAATTGTCTAATCCAGATTATGTAATCAGTTACTATCCACAGTGTTTCCAAACTCTGTTCCTGGAGGCACACCAGCACTTTTTACACATTTTGGATGTCTCCCTAATATATTTCTGGTCTTGAAGTCTCTAATGAGAGGAGTTAAAAAAAACAGGCGTGTTTAATTTGGAAGAGTTCAAAAACGTGTAGTGTTGTTGGTGTTTCTCCAGGAACAGGCAGGGTTGGGAAACACTGACTGGACTAGATAAACATTGGGCTAGTCAGTGTTACAGTAAACATTTGATGAAACAATGCACTCTGGTGGTGAACAGGAGTATAGTGTTACGTTCGATTCAACAGTAAATCATTAAAAATGCGTTAATTAGCAATGTATTAATATTAATAGCCTAAATATCTGTTCATTTGAGAGAATTATTTTTTATTAATAAAATATTTATAAAGTATGTTGGCTAAATGTGTTACAACATGTTTTAAATGGATGATGTGAATGTCTTCAAATATGTTATCAGATCAACTCTTTCCTGATTCTTACGGATTCCAGCGAAAATCATCGTGGTCCCTGGAATGTAGCCCTTTGGATTCTTTAAATACTTCATAAGAGTGTCTTCCTCCCAAACAACACCTAAACAAACCAAAGCAATGCTAAAATAACTTTTCTTGGTTTTATTTTACTGTATTAGTGTGAAGTGAATTAAAATGTTCAGAATGGATGAGGTTTATTAGTACAGGCCTAGGCTTGTAAATCTGTTTCATTAAGCAAACTTAATAGTTCGCTAATTTGATCCAGGTTTTTATCTATAGGTAATTGCATGTGCACGCGTTTCTGAAGCAGCCCAGAGGTCGATCGTGGATAAAATCGATCCACCATCAAACAGCGTATATTTTATCTAAAATATGATCTAAAATCAAAGAATATTCCCTAAAATAAAGGATTATATATTAGCCACATTAACTAGTCTACATTTTTATATAACTCTCCGCCTTTTAATTTTAGTTATTTGTTATTTTATTTATTGATTAGCCTATTTAATATTTAATATTTGATATTTAAATAATATTACTTGAATAACTCAATAATTATTATAGTGTCACTGTCATTATAAGAGTTTGATATAAATATGTAAATGTTTACTTTTTATTAATATTTATTTTTATTAATAAATATTTTCTCTTTCCCCCCTTTTTTCATATGTAAAAGTGTAACTATGTACTTATTTGTTATTGTTCTAGTTATGTATTTTTCGGATATGTGTTGGTGGTATCACAAAAGAAAAAAAAATATTGTCTTTAAAGGAACTGTCCATTTGTATAATTGTATTTTTATGATAGCAATAACAAATGGGAATATTTGTAATGGGTAAATTAAATGTAGTCTTTGTATAGTCCAATGAGCTTAGTAGGCTACTCAGATTCATCCTGAAGTTAAAATGTAAATTGCGCTTTTGTAATTTTTTAATTTTGTGATTTTAACTTTTGCTAGCCTATAAAAACTTGAACATAAACATTTTATGTAGGCTAAAATATAATTTATCATGTTTGTACAACGATTGTCTAATTTATTATTGTAACCCTGTTTAAGTAAATTTCCTGCATATTTATTTTTGGACAGATAGTGGTTAATAAATTAAGAAAAATAATGGAGAGAGTATCAGTGGTAATATCATTGTGTCAGTGTTAGAGGATCTGTGTAACAGCTGAGGCTGATAGTTAGCCTGCCCTGGACCAGGTTAGTTTCCCAGCATAAATTGTAACTACACATACATTTACATTTAGTCATTTAGCAGACGCTTTTATCCAAAGTGACTTACAACTCAGGACTAAACCTGTCACAGTGTCTGGTTTGTGTTTCCCTGAATGTCCACTAGAGGTCTCTTTCCGCATACTGTCACCATTCACTCTGGAACTGCAATTCCAACGATCCTTTGTCTTTTCTCATCACTCATCATTGCACACAGCTGTTTCTAGTTACATTGTTTAGTCCTGTGTATATACCCTGTCTGTTTCTGTCCTTGCCAGGGAGTCATTGTATGTGGTCATGACACTTCGAAGTTCTGGGGCCCGTTTCAATAAGGAGGTTCAACCAACTCTGAGTTAAAGCTTGAACTCAGAGTTGACTTACCCTGAGATGGGAAACTCTAAGTTTTCGGTTACAGAACAGCTGAAATGAGTTAGTTCAATCAACTCTGAGTTGACCGACTCTGAGTTAAGCGCTTACACCACAACTATAAAAAGCCATTATCAATGGAGCACAGATATTATGAGTCACCATGGCAACAGCGCCAGACAAAAAGAGGTGTTTATTAATTACCAAGTAATCTAAATATTGTAATTTAATTAAAGGGATTACTCTTAATTCTTCTGTAATTTAAAATAAAATATGATGCAATTACATTAAGCTACTACATAAACCAATTAAGTATAAAACAATAGTGGATTTAACATACATTTTTAAAAGGTATATTTTTTATGTAACCTTCTCCCTCTACACACTTTGATCAATTCAAGAATAATTCATGCAATTGTATATTGTGAATTTGAAAGAATTAAAAGTGCAGTTTGCTCAATTGCTCAATTGCTTAAACACTATAACCAGGCTTTTGAACTAAAATTTCAAAACCATAATGCCATTTATCAAAAAGCACACCCATTTCCCTAAACTATAAACACTATTCCCTGTTTTGACACATGAATCAGAATTGTTGAACAATCACTGCAAAACTCTACACACAAATCCCTTAATTTCTCATTGCCTAGACCATGTGGTCATTTAGAAAGCACTAGCATTCAATATTGTTCACTCAAGTCAGCATAGTTTCAGCTCACTTAGCACACAATTACCCAGATGAAAACACTGAGAGTCACAATTTAACACACATCAATCAGAACTTTCAAGGTGCCTAAAAGTGCCAGAGTCAGTTCATCTGAGTTTTGGAACAATGGATCCACAAAGAAATGAAGGAAGAGGACGTGGAGGGAGCGGAAGAGGATATGGTGAAGGAGGAGGAAGAAGAGGAAGAGGAGGACGTGGTGAAGGAGGAGGAAGAGGATATGGTGAATCCTCTTTAAAGAGAATCACCATAAAGAGGATATGGTGAAGGAGGAGGAAGAAGAGGAAGAGGAGGATGTGATGAAGGAGGAGGAAGAGGATATGGTGAAGGAGGAGGAAGAAGAGGAAGAGGAGGACGTGGTGAAGGAGGAGGAAGAGGATATGGTGAAGGAGGAGGAAGAAGAGGAAGAGGAGGACGTGGTAAAGGAGGAGGAAGAGGACATGGTGAAGGAGGAGGAAGAGGATATGGTGAAGGAGGAAGAAGAGGAAGAGGAGGATGTGGTGAAGGAGGAGGAAGAGGACATGGTGAAGGAGGGAGAGGAGGAGGAAGAGGACATGGTGAAGGAGGGAGAGGAGGAGGAAGAGGGGGACGTGGTGAAGGATGAGGTAGAAGAGATGGTGGTGAAGCAGGAGGAGACAAGCAGTCTCAGATGAAATTAGAGCCACTTGAGTTGATCATGTCCTTGTCCATGGCATGACTATGAGGGAGGCTGGACAACGAGTACAGACTAATTCGAGTCACTTCACCTTCGCCTCCATCATCAGAAATTTCAGGGAGAAAAACAGGAAAACAGGGGTGAGTCAGGCAAAAGAATTTTACCTCTGCTGCCGGGCTAGGGCTAATATAGCCTGTGATGTGGATGTGATTGGCTTGACCCAGACCAAAGGCAGGAGGCTGAGGTGGAATAATCTTTTCGACGCGAATAATCAAGCGACGCGAATACTTTTTGTGCGAAAAAACAAACAAAAATAACGAGTTTATTCGACTATTTCTTTTCTTCTTTGTAGGCCAGAACGAGACTTCCTTATAGATTTCCACGACGCATGCGCGAGAATTGCGATCTGAAGTAGTGTAAGCTGTTGTACGCAGATCGCAAATCTCGCGCATGCGTCGTGGAAATCTATAAGGAAGTCTCGTTAAAACTCGTTATTTTTGTTTGTTTTTTCGCACAAAAAGTATTCGCGTCGCTTGATAAACATATAGTTGAGCCACGGTAGTCACTTGGGATATTTAAACATTTTCTTCATTGACTTTTTGGGCCGTCAAGAGGCAGTCCCTTAGGAGCCAATGTGGTAGTTATACAGCTCTCAAATTTAATCAAAAATATCTTCATTTGTGTTCCGAAGACGAACGAAGGTCTTACGGGGTTGGTACAGCATGGGGGTGAGTAATTAATGACTTAATTTTCATTTTTGGGTGAACTAACCCTTTAAGGGTAGGTTTAGGTCTGGGGTAGGGTTAGGGTTAGACCTCTAGGGGACGCCTTCTGGTACATACATATCTGCGTCTCATATTGACGCTAATGGGTGTCATGTGCGTTGGATGTCTACGCTTTGGTAAAAGCGTCGTATATGACGCCTTGGGATGAGAACGGCCTGAAATATACTGTCAAAATTAGCGATAAGTTGTGGGCACAGTTATTATTGCAGCTGACCTTACTGCATATGCATTCGTTGGAGTTTCCATTTTAGATGCAACATTTACGGGAGTATAGAGTATTTAAATGAATCATGATTTTACTAAAGTTTTGTAATGTAATTTAACATGTCTTGAAACCAGACTCAAATTTGCAATGCTCTTAGTAGATTGCATTGGTCATGATGGAAATGATCTGGCTGTGTCTGTGTTCTGTAATTTGCAAGTCGTCAGTAGATCAAGTGATGAACTGTCCACTCCCATCGGTGCTTTTATAGAATTGTGCTCATATGCAAATTTGCCCTCTTTTGTATATCTGGCCCCAAATGGGAAAACAAAGTTACTTTAACTTTGTTAAATATTGTTGTTATGTGCTCTGTCTGTCTCTCCTTCTGCTTGCCTAGTTATGCAGCCACACCTGATAGTAGTACAGAGCTACGCCAGAGCCCGTCTACGGAGAGCCTGGCCACTTCTATTAAGTCCTATTGTCCTGAATTTTGGTTGTAGTTCCCCTTGAGCTCCACTGGCAGTGCTCCCCCATGAGTGCTAAATGAATGGGAGTCTATGGAGCTAGGTGGCTAAATTTGTCTCTTTCACCTGATTGCCTTTGAGAAGTCAAAGATTTGATTGTACTGTAGGTTTTGCAAGTTCAACATGGTTTATAGGTCGAAACTTGAATGAATGAGTGCTTATGTCCTTTCGATTTCTTACAGGTTGAGTTGTTGTTGCCCATAACACGCTAGCATTCTGCTAGTGAACGCTGGTTGGTCAGTCAAGGACTGATTACGACCAGAGATGCCGCTTGATGGCATCGTGGCATCCGAAGCGGGATCAGAATATTAAGAACTTAGTTTTACAAAAACTCTTTAGCGTGTGTATTTACCTGTGTCAGCTATCTTAAGAAAGTGCAGAGCGCAAAAGCACCAAAGTGACTGAAGGATTGCGTTAAGCACTTTGGTTGTAGGCTACGATGTGCATGAAGTCGTTGGATATTTTAAAAGACGTTTTTAAACAAGTGACTCTAAAAAATTTAACACCCAACAATGTGTAATTTCTTTGCATCTTGTTTCGAATACAACATTCAAATTACTAGACAAATTATATCCTGAGAAAAGTGGATTTTGAGAGGTGTATCTCCATATTCATTCTGTCCTGTGAGTGCCCTCATATGGAACCAGAGTGGAACTGCAACCAGTTCAGAAGCCAGAAGTTTACTGAGAGTGGAAGTTCTCCCCTTATTAGACATTCTCTGGTAATGCTATAAGAAAGCCGAGTGAACACTGCTTGCAGAGGTTTGTAACTGAGTGTGAAACTGGTGTGTTGTCCTGGTGTATTGCAGTTCATCTTTTGTGTGTGCTTGGGTGTCAAAACAGGTTTGCTTTCAGGTACTGACTTTTCTTCTTTTATCTCTTTTCTTTCTAACTTTTGTTTTCGGTATTAAAAGGTATTGTATCTAGATTTTATATATCAACATTTGTTATTTGTTATGGAAAGCAGTAGGGAGATTGAGTCACCTTTTTCTTTTTGTAAAATATGAATCCCTGTTTTTGGTTAGTGAGGTGAGGTGAAGCATATGTTGTTTATTTTCTTTTACGTGTAGGTCGTTTAGCTCTCCTTCCAATAGTAAGTTTCCTCTTTTGTTTGTTGTTTTGGTCTGATCTTCCCCTGAAGATTGAATACTTCCATTGTCTTTGTTTAAATACAATAAATCATTTTACTTTTGCATCAAGTGCTGGCTCACATTTCTGGGGCAAAGGACTGAAGGAAACCTTTCACGTTTACATTTTGATTTAATTTAATCATGTTACCCTCTCCCCTATGGAGGAAAGGTGTTTTATATCAGACTGATCTCATGAAGTAGCGTGTGTATGACACGCCAATTCATTGGCGTGCTATCAAGACGCATAATCGCCTTTCAGCGTGTTTATGAACGCCGTTCACTTAACGTTATATAAATATATGACTTACTTCAACCCCGTCCCTAAACCTAACCGTCACTGGGGTTAATGGCATTTATGACTGTTCCCTTACCATCCTAGGTAAAAAAAAAGATATGACTTACCTCAACCCCATCCCTAAACTTAACCGTCACTGGGGTTAATGGCATTTATGACTGGAGATTTGACTGCGTGTTCAGACACGCGGAATGATGCGGACGTTAATGGCGTAGACATATACGCATACACGCGGATAGCACAAAATGCGTGGAGATAACACGCCACCTGACTCGAAAGTGGCGTATATGTTTACGCAAAAGTCATGATGTCATGTTGTTTATATCATTATTCTTGGCGAGAGGTGTGTGCGTTTGGCAAATGCAACAATGTTGCACTGTTCCTCGGCAACCTGTAGCCAGTCATCTTGTAGAAGAGGATCAAAATGAAACATCTAATCAATGAGTCTTAATTATACCTCAGTCTCATTAACAATGTACTCTGAGTGCATGTGAAAGCTGAGTGTCTTTTTAATGCAGAAACCAATTATTAACCATATTGGATTTGGCCGCCATCTTGGCCCCGAGGGTCGCTGGCTCCGGCGCCCTAGCTAAATCATTTCAGTATGACCTGAGCTACATCTGTGCCAAATTTGGCGCTTTTAGATGAATTTGCGCGAAATTACCTATTTATGTGCTTAAGGCCCCCAACTAAATGGAACAAAGATACATTTATGGGTGTTGGATTGCTTCAATATATTAAAATATTGAATTGTAATTATCTGAATAAAGCTGTCACAACTATTTAGTGTTACTTATAATTTGCTTTAATTTAGCAATTTACAAGCAGCAAAGTACAGATGCAAATACGTCAACGGACATTCATAAAACATCTCCCATCAACTGTTGTTTTTACAGGGTTCATTAGTCTAAAGCAGTGTAATCTGTGTTCGTTACACTTTCTTTTGAGTCTTCTATTTCAAGCATGTAGTCATGGACTTGAGTCCTGTGAGAGAAAACAAATGAAGAAATTTGTGTTATACAGAGAAATGTGTGCTATCTATCTATCTATCTATCTATCTATCTATCTATCTATCTATCTATCTATCTATCTATCTATCTATCTATCTATCTATCTATCTATCTATCTATCTATCTATCTATCTATCTATCTATCTATCTATCTACTGGTGGGTGTTGTTTAATATTTCAGTTGAGAAATATCAAGCTTCCTACCTTTCTTTTGGAAATGGGTATTCAGGTGTGCGTGTGTACACAGTCAAGGCGCGAAAAGGGTCTAAAGCGAAGATTTTCCTCCTCCCAAACTTTTGCGTGATTGTGGTTGAGGGTGCATTCTCTGAGCGCACACACATGGTGCAGGACCGGCCGAAACGCTGAGGGAGGTTGATGGTGGACTTGGGAGCACGGTCACCTGTGCCCGCCTGCTCATCCCGCCCGAACCGAAGCGGCAGGTTGGCATGGAGATGTGCTGGTTTTGCTATTATGGGGTGAAGTCGCAGGATGGTGGGAGAGCTCACACGACCGCTGGTTGGAGCTACATCAAGAGCGAAGTCCTCTATATTCAGACTCCGGGGAATCTCCAAAGTGTTCTTTGACAACATGAATGTAGAAGAAGAGGAAATGGTACAGTTATCGGTGTACTACACTGATGTCAATTTCAAACTATTACTGTTTTTCTCAGTCGCTTTGGTGCATTTCTCACATCACTATTTACATTTGCACAACAGTTAGTTCTACCTCCACAACATTTAGCCATTTGTGCACATCATAGCAGCAGTTTCTCATTCATTCCAACAAATTGCAAATGATTTTGGACATGCATCAATTGCTTTCATATAACTCACTGCTGTTTTATAACATTATCATTTGCTTATGTCATGTCAGTCAAAATTAATTATACTTGTGAATGCTGAATAGTGAATAGTCATTATAAAACGAATAGTCATTATTTCATTGCTTGAGTCATTACATACAAAAATGTTGAACTAGTTGTCAAAATCTGTCAATTACATAAATTTTACACGTTTTTTAAAATATTTTATTTCCCTGAACATGTCTCCTAAATTGAACAATTTCTCTCAGGTGAATCTCACCTTTCAGACAGTGAGGAACGTCTGGATGTGCATGAATGATTACAGTACTATGTATGTTGTGTGTTCAGGTCCAACATGTCCTGCAATATTGTGTACGGTTGTGCACAGCTCGACCCAAAGGGAGTTTATGTGTGTTTTACAGTAAATAAGGGTGTATTTGTTCTTTTGCACAATGCTGTGAACAAATTAGAATTGCAAAGACCATATGCAGTAAAAATGTGAAACATACATATTCAATGTCTTGTACTCAGTTACCTCACTAAATACAGTAATGTGTAACTTTACTGTATTTTTCAAATGGCTGTGCAAATATAGTATATAGTGCTGTCTTGAGCATTTTCAGGTAGTGTCACCAATATCTGACTTTTTTGCATTGGAAAACATTTACAGAGTAAACTGTCATAATGGAAACATGACAAAGCCATTTGACTATCTTGTTCATAAACAACGGTGTCAGGACTTTTCATCTTGATGACATTGACACTTTCATTGACATGAATACTTGCTTTTGAGGAGTGAGCGATCCATTTTGAGCAAGTGACACGCTTTTGCAGGTTATCAACTTGGTTTTGCAGTTTGTACTAAATGTGTTGAGAACTGCATGAACTGTTGTGCAAATGTAAATAGTGATGTGAGAAATGCACTAAAGCGACTGAGAAAAACTGTATTAAGATTTTACAGTATTTGAATAAAATCTATAGGCTATTTATAAAATATTAAAAATGGGAAAAGCATAAGTTAAGAAAGCTCTAACAGTCGCTGACCCATTCCTCACATTTCTTTACACTGTAACAAGTGAAAATATGCATTGACACCTTACAGAAATATATCTGCCTGCCCTAACCATTAAAAAAATGTTTCTTGGTGCAATCTAATCAGGTTTATTCAATTATATTAGATATGAAGACAGGCAAAAAGGCATGATGATGATAATAATAATGATCAAAAATAAAAGTAATGTATTATAAATTAATATCTTTTTTTTTTATTTTACATTTCAGGAAATTATTTTGACAGTGCATTAATTTGGCAAATTGTATATTCCAAACTAATTACTAATTACTACTATTTCAAGTAAAGGAAAATATAAAGCACTTACCTCTGGAAACTGTCCCCATTTAAATCGATTAGGATCACTGTCTATTGGAAGTGGCAATCTGAGAGCAGAAACCTCACTCAGCATGAAGCTGCTCAGGATACTGAGGGCTAAAAAGACAAGAGTGAAGTAGGACATCTTACAATCAATCACTGAAGTCCACGCACATCACATGGTTTTTATACATTTTGCCATGTGCAAATAAACATACTCACAAAGACATTCCTTATAATGTACTCAGCATACTTAATAAGCACCAACCTACATTCATTCAATAATGACCTTCAAATCAAGTAATGTTGCATCTCAACGAGATCCCAATTACCACCACATTTGGATTGTGGTAAGTAAGAATAATCTGGTAAAAGATGCATGACACATGAATAAGACGTTGACATGCTGGAAATGTTTGAATGAGTTGTTGTAGGCCACAGAGCAGTTTTCATGAATGGTCTGGCATTTTGTTCCAAAAAATATTTACTAATTGCCATGCAGATGTCAGTGAAAAAAAAATGTTTCTTTAAATATATCTCAAGCTGCACATTAATGATCATAAGCTAATTAGTTGCAAATGCGCATAGCACATAATTGTGTAGGATCTTAGCAGCATGCTCACATAATAAGAAGTTTATTCAAGTGTGCCATTAGTATGCATCTTTTAAAGTAAAAAATAAGTACATATAAGTATATACTTCGCAGAAATATACTTACTCTAAGTATATTTGGACTGTACATGTATTCAATCTTTTGATCGAGATACTTAAAAGTATGATTAAATATTCTTGGCTTGTATTTGTGTTTAATGTTTTGACTGAATAGCCTATTAAATATATTTTTCATAGTTTTACATACTTATAAACTTACATTGTTTGGTTAATAGCTGCTTTTTTTCTTTGCATGATTGTGTTTTTGGGGTGCAATATTACATGTATTCGTGGTTTTTCTTTTTTTAAAAGTCTTATTTTTCATAAACTTCACCTTTATTGTAAGCCGCTCTCTCCTCTATCCTCGAACGACCGGTTGACTTCCTGATTCTATGAAACCACTCCCTCAGAAACAGGCAGTGGGCTCAGATTGGTTAGTTTGGGCTGGTGTGTGGTGATTGGCTAAACTGTCACTCACTGTTGTCCGGAAGGTTAACGCCCATTACCTTTACAGGCGAAACGTGCATGTCATGAGCAGGGGGGTAATCCATCAGCAGGAAGTTGAAGCTGCCTCCGGGGGCCGCCATTGTAGCGGGCTATCACCTGCTGTTAGCATCCCATTGACTCCCATTCATTTTGGTGTCACTTTGACAGCGAATAACTTTACATCTGAGGCGTCCAAAGACTCCATTTGTCCATTATTTATTTCTAAAGAAACACGACAATGTATAAAAGGCTCCATTACTTTGTATGTTACGTTATGGCCCCGTTGAAGCGGTTCTTGTAAAAATAGGCTAAAAATTGCGTCATAACCACAGTAGAGAAGTTACCGTATAGACAGGAGGAGAAGCTCGCACAGCCTCGCAGGCAATCTTTTACTGTCTAAAGTCACCCCATGGCATAAATAGAAGCAAAATGACAAAATAACTAATCAGAATACTTACCAAAAGTTGCTCGAGGTCGCGTTTCGCCGTCTCTGTGCACGATTAAAATTTGTCATGGCACAGCTACTAAACGATTTACCACTGTCAGTCAGTTTGCTCACGTGACATCTACGTCGTCAAGCTCAGTTTGAGCCTGCGCAGAACGCTTGGCTATCAGGAAGTGAGTGCCCATGTTGAGCTTCAACTCTCTCCGTTGAAATCAACGGGGTCCATTTCTTTTACTGTCTATGGTCATGAGCTCCGGTCCATTCATGTAAATAATGGTGTCGAACTGCAGTATGTTTGAGGCAGAATCAGACCCAGAAAGCGGCGATGAATAGATTCAAGCAGAACCTCACCACACATGGCTCTTACTAATCGTTTCTGAATGATAATTTGCTACATTTTTAAACTTTATACACGTTTGTTTAACACAATAGCATCTGACTGGCAACAACAGCAACTGACTGGCTGCTAATGTTATACTCAAACAGCGTTAGTTTACGTTCTTGATCAAATCGAAAATATCGTCATAAAGCATATATACATGAAAAGTACGTTTAAAATATTAGTACTTGTACAAAATTCAGGTCCATAATGTTTGTGCGCGTTTGTCATAGACACAAAATAGCATAACTAGTAGCCTAGTGGCTGTAAAGCCAGCGCTGGCATTTGAAAAAAATAAAACATAAGGCTACGTCTGGAATTATACATGCAAATACATTTAAAAAGATTAAGTCTTAGCCTACTTACAGGTTGTGGCCCAACAACTGCTGCCCCTGGTTGTAAAGTTGGAACTGCTTCATGTTTCTGTAACAGTTTCTTGTTGAATCCGGCAGTGAACTCGTGGAGATTCTGGAAGCTGTCTTTCGTAAATGCGCAGCACAGAGAGCTAAATTACGATCGTCATTTTCAGGAACATAGTCAAACATAAATTGTATCCATTGTTGACGAAGTACAGCGTCCGTGGGAAGCTCGAACACAGCAGACCTGCAAATGTGTGGGTTAGTGACGACTAAAACCCAGCTGTAGTCCCAATCGAGTCATTTTTGTAGGCAATATACTTCCTGATTTTTAAAAGACGACATCTCTGCTTACACTGAACTTTCAGCGCTGCAACTTTGCAGATACTGTTCATGCACCAACAGCAACATTACACACTATTTAAAATGAAAAAAGTGAAATCGCAATCACCCCCCCCCCCCCCCCTTTAAAAAAGTAAATAGCAAACTACTAGTATATCAGCCCGTTCTCATCCCTAGGTGTCACCTGACTGACGCTTTTGACCATGCGTCTAAATCCGACGCACATGGCACCCTTTAGCGTCAATATGAGACGGGCCTCCTAGTGGTCTAACCCTAACCCCACCCCAGACCTAAACCTACCCACGTCACCTGACTGATGCTAAAGGTTGCCATGTGCGTCGGATTTAGATGCATGGTCAAAAGCAGATGACACCCTAGGATAAACGTCATCTAGCTGACGCTAAAGGTTGCCACGTGCGCCGGATTTAGACGCATGGTCAAAAGTGTCAGTTAGATGATGCCCTAGGATGAGAATGCGTTAGTATATTTATAAGTTCAGATGTACAGATGCAGTAAAAATGAGAAACATATAGTTGTGGAATAGTTGTGCACTTAAAGTTTATAGTACACTTAAACATATTTTTATATATGCTAAAAGTGGGCCAATTTAGTCTCAAGCAGTATTGAAATAGTACACTTACAAGTTTACGACTTGTACATTGACATTAGTATACTTAAGTATACTTAAAAATAAAATTAACAATTACTCAAGTATACTTCATAAAATTAAAGATTTGTCGTAAGGGATGTAATGCAACATTCACATTTAATGCATCATACAGTAATATAAAGTACAATAAATTAGGTATTTGATGATTTGGAACCATTAATGTCAATATTCTGAGAGAAGTTTTTCTTTTGTATTTTTTAAAATGATAGATTTTCTTTCTCTCTTAATTTGTAGCAGTTGCTTCAATTTGCTATACTGATATATAATACAAACATTTAGCCAAAGTGTTTTTAATTAATACATTTTAAACTGAATTTGTCTATTATTGTTATTATCTGAAATCCATCAATTAGACAGCTTTTCTGGGGAGCTCACTACACACCTAACCCAACAGGGGGCAGTGCAACATTATACAGTTTTTTTTTGCAATCACTTTGTTATTATATTCATGATGTCATTTTTCAAAACTCTAGACACAAAACTTACAACCAATGATCAAAATGCACATTTTTCAAAGCTCTAACCATTTTCTCAAATGTTTGGATACAATACACATACAACTTAGGTCATTTGTTCATTCAACAAAAATCACCTGTTCAACATGACACAACATCAAAGTACGACTATTTCAAAAGGCAACACATTATATTTCAAATGAGTGTTTATTCATTTCCTTACAATGATCTGACAATCAATTGATACAACTGCTCAAAATGATAACTGTCGTAGCACTCTTACAGTAATGCATAGACACACAATCTTCAATGTTCACAGTAATCATGAACGTTTCAAGATAACAAGATTCATTATCACCAATTAGCGTGGAGCATGAACCGATTAGACCACAATATCCATGGATGTAGCCTAATATTTTATATTTTTGCTTTGATTCCAATGTTGTGATCGTATGTGTTTTGCATCAATATATTACACACTTTAAGTTCAATGATTCCACAATGTGTGTATTCTCTCTACTACTGAAGTGCTTTTACACAGATGTATTTACTGTGCCATAATGAAACACGGATCACCTATTTTGTTCTACAATATTTAATGATCGTACAAACAATGACACAGAGTTACGTGAGTTTTTAAAATTAAATTTTAAAAATAAATTAAATGTACTTAATTTTTATATTTACATAAATAAGTTATTAAAAGCAAATAAGTTACTATAACAAATTAAAAGGGGGAAAAGTCAGTTACACTAATACAGTAATATAATAATATTGCAAATTATTATTATGACAAACTATCCTTAGTCTGTGGGGAAAATGCTGTTTTCAGGAAGTAGCCTAAGCTTTATTCGTTTATAACTCTCAAATTATATAAAAACATTTACCAACGCATCCAGTGGCTTTGTTTTTCACCTCAATGTGTCATTCATCAGCGAATAAAGTCAACATTAAATTGAAGTTACTATTGATTTTTATAGTGATTTAAAAATAATAATGTGGTTGTTTTATTTAGATGGTTAGAGGATGTAAGCCAAAATGTCTTCAGCTAACCAGTCTGTCCCATTGTATTTGTTCCCATTCTGTCAGCTCCAGCCGATCAAAGACCTGAACAAACATCCACCCTTTACACTCAGACAAGAAGTGTAGATCCCTACTACACAACCTTAGGGTCGTCCAATCAGATGTCTGCCGAGGTCAGCATGTTTCGTCCAATTGGGAATGAAGCGGAAGGCTCTGATGAAGGATCAGGAAGCCAAGAAAATGGCCCCTAATGACAGAGGAGGGGTGTGTTTTCGCACATGTGTGTTTTTTACGCACATGCTATATGTGATTGCTTTATCTGACATTTCCTTCTGTAGCTTTGAACTTCAGGCCTCTGCAATCATGCAGG